ATAACGTTATGAAAATTCATCGTTTAATTGCAGAAAGAAATTGGGTGAAGCTTTAAATAATGCAAACGAAAGATCGTTTAAAAAAATCGTCGATAGTTTTTAACCCTATCTTTGCTGGGGTACATGAAAACCAGGATATGCTGGGGGGGGGTCAAATTGACCCCCCCCCCCTCTAAATCCCATGTTTGATGTCCAAATATGACAAATGATACATCATTGGAAAGCCCTTGTGCTCTGCTTTTAGAATTTGCAAAAAAATGCAAATTTGCAAAAAATGAATTTTTTATCGCAAAATCCAGTTATATAGTAAAAATGTTTGCAAAAATAATTTGTCCAAAAAATGCAAAAATTATACATTTTTAAAAAGCCCTTGACCATGCCATTTTAAATATGCAAAAATTTTTGCAAAATCTTAAATAACCTGATTTTTAATCAAGAAAAACTAAAAATGTGCAAATTTCCTTTGACAGGTTGTTTGCAAAAAATTTGCAATTTTTTTGCAAAACTTGCGCAACTCGTTTCCTTATGTCAAAGGCTTTCCAAAAAGCTAAATTTTATCAAAATCGGAACCGCCTTAGCCCAATGCTTTTTGAGTTATCTAAAAAAAAAATAAAAATTGCCCCCCCCCCCAGCAGGAATAGGGTTAAAAATCAAACACAGAACGAAAAACCACCGTTTCTTTAAAAACTATGCTTCTCCCATAACTGTAGACACAGGCAATCAAATCTAATTTATTTTCCAAAATTGATAAATATTAAACCGAGAAATAAAGATGATGTTTAATTTTCAGATTAATAATAATCTTTTCGCAGAATTTATTAGAAGTCACTGTTTAACTTGATATTAAAGGGATTCAGCTTTAACCATAGAGAATAGAATATATATTAGAGGAGAATTTACTAGAAAAAAGTGTAAAACGGCCATTTTGTTGTACTGTTTCCATTCTGCAGGTGTACTTCACATATTTATGCTATATAACCTTTTGGGTATTCCTCTCTAATATATATTCTATTCTCTATGGCTTTAACACTGTAACAGAATAAAAAATTTATTTATTCTCTGAAAATATTGAATAAAAACAAGATATTTTATTATAAAATAACTAATTGTTTTTTTATGACTTTTCATCTTTCTGGGAATTCGGTGTTTAATTTGATGAAATTAAAGGGCTTTGATCAGTTTTAACAAACTTTAATTCATTTTCAAAAATATAAAATCTAATAATAAACATGTTATTTTATACAAAGTGTATTTTAAAATTTTTTTCTGACTTTTCGTCGTTTTTTGGATTCACAGTTTAATTGGATGAAAGAAATGGCTTCATTTTTAACAGTAAAGGGTAGCTGAAGCTACAGGGTGTCTTCGAGTAAACCTCATTTCGGGATGCTCATTAAATGTCCATGTTTTTATTCACTCTTTGTCATTTTTCAATTATTGGAAATCAAAGACGATTTTAAGTCGTCTCTTTTTTATGTTTATTGGGACACCATGTTTAGAGAATATCAAATAATAGATCCAATCAGTTTTCCAAAATTTGAAGAAATAGTATGAAAGCCGTAATAATATTGGATTAATTTATTAATAAGATGATTAATATTTGTGATTTTTTGCATTTTAATTACTTTTCCTCTAAGAAAAATTCCGTATTGTGACATATATATTTTGATACAAAAAAACATGTACGTAATAATATTTGATTTATGTATTAATAAAATTGTTAATATTTGTGCTCTTTGCTTTTTAATCACTTTTTCTCTAAGAAAATTGTGTATTGTGACTTGGGTTGTTAATCGTTTTTGTAAACGATCGTTAATCAATCGTTAAGCGATCGTTTTTTGTTTTGTTTTCAAAAACGATTGTTTCCTTTTCGGAAAAAAACGATCGTTTTTAAAAACCACCCACTCGTTTTGAACTTTTAGAAAATGAATAACGATCGTTTTTGAAAACGATCGTTTTTATTAAAACGATTTGCGACCGTTTTTATACTATTGTTTTTTAAATAAACGATCGTTTTTGAAAAAAAAATTATTGACAATTATGTTAACGATCGTTAACGAAGGGTCGTCGTTAACGATCGTTAACAAAACGACGAACTTTATAAAAACGGTCGTTTTTGGAAAAATTACATGCAACTTTATTAAATGTCGTCTTACATGAAGTTTAACAGTTGTGGGGGAGATATAGCACTTCTTGATATTTTCTTAAAAACTACTCAATGATAAGTACAGACGCCCTTCAGGTCGGTTTCCTCTCGTCGTTAACGAACGTTAACGAAGGGTTGTCTTTAACGATCGTTGACGAAGGATCGTCGTTAACGATCGTTAACGAAGGGTCTTCGTTAACGAGTGTTAACGAAACGACGAAATTTATAAAAACGATCGTTTGAAAAAAATAGCGTTTTTAAAAACGAGCGTTTTGTGACGCTATACACAGTAAACTAGAAATCCTGGTTAAAAGCCCATGAGTCTTGACTTTAGTACCAATCTTTACCAATTATATGTTTTTGAATGAAAGGGCCAAATATGTGCAATTCTCATTCGTTTATAGTGGGCCAACCAATTAAAACAACCTACTCTGGTTAGGCGGGTCCAAACTACATAGTAAATTGTGATTTTTTTATTTGTATTATCTCGTGCTTTGTAGTTGAAAAAAAATATGAAATGAAATATGAACATATTGATGTAATTAGATTTATGTGACTAAGTCATATATTTTCATATTTTAGAAAGCCCTTGGGCTCTACTTTATGTATTTGAAAAAGTCAATCTACGGAATTTAGACATTTCCGTGGTTCTACCGAGTTTGCCATTTAAAATTTGAGGCAAATCGGTTAGAAGCTCCTGAGTTATTATTAGACATCCAACAGACAGACAAACACGGCTAAAACAATCGGCCCACATTTTGTGTGGGACCTCAAATGACCCCAAAGAGGGTTTTTTTGGATGATCAAAATTTCAAAAATTAGTCTCCCTCCAACAAAATTTTATTTCCATTAAATTTTCTAAAGCCACTTTTTTTTTCATAAATCCTGCGAACTGTTTTTGTTATTATTTTACAATGTATATACAAAAAGAAAATGTTCACAATTGAACTAGATGATGGGCGCGAAGCGCCCTTAAAGCTTAGTTATAAATATTGCATGACAAGGCAAAAAATGAAAAAAACCACAAAATTACAATCCATCTAAATCTTTCAAATATTAAAATAAAGCAGTGTAATTATCTACTTAAAATCCCGCCCAAGGTCAGGTCCAAACAAGTAAAGTATATATAGCATATCAACAAACAGAAACCCAAACAAGTAAAGTATATATAGCATATCAAAGCAAACATTTAGTATATTTCATGGTTACATATCTTAGTTCAGAAACAATAGCATTTGGAGAGATGTTACTGATTAAAATAAAGATATTTAATGTTAATTATTTAAATATTAGTTTTTGTACAGTGTGTACATAGTGATATTATTTTAATTAGATTCAGAGATTAGAGATGGGTGCGTTCGGTTTTTTCATTTCGTTCGTTCATCGTTTGCTTTTTTATATTCTTATATTAAGCCATCGTACAGTGAAATCGTTTGTTAAAAAAAAATCGTTCTTTTAAGCACAAATTCGAAAAAATTGTTCGTTCAGTTCAGTGAAGAACGATTGTTTTTCAAGGTTGTTCGAACTATTTTAAATTGTTCGTTTTTTGTGCGTTTTCAGACCACGATCGTTTTTCAATTTCTCTTAAATATCCAAGTTGTTCGTCCATCGTTCACGAAAAAAAATTGATCCTTCTCAAAAATTGTGTTCATCAACAATTCGCCCATCTCTATCAAAGAATTTAAACAAAAAGATTTTCTTTGAAAATTGATTGAATTAAAAATCGACAAATCGTAAAAACTTAGTATTTTTAAAAAATATCTTTTGAAAAATATTCATCAATGAAATTTCGTACGCTGATTAAATATAATTATTTCAATTGATTCAGAATAATTAAAGATTTTAATTATTCAGTATAATCATTTCTTAAAATCATTATTTGATATTTAACGATAAAAAAAGAAAAAATATTAATTCTAGAATTAAAATTAAATTCGAATTAACTTTACAGCTACTTAAATTCACACACACTTGGAGGGGAAGGGGGGTTAATTCCCCCCCCCCCCCAATTATTTATATACTTTTCGTAAAATCTTAAAACCCAACACAAAAAATTGAAAAAAGATTATTGTACAAAGAAAAGATGTTATCATATATAATTAAAGAGTCACAACAAAAAGTTAAAATAAAAGATGGGCGCGAAGCGCCCCATAAACCTTTTATTATATAAATGTTAATAATATTCTAAAGATAGAATTACTAGTCTAGTAATCTTATTTTTTTTGTTTACCAACTGTTTAAAGGGACTAAAGAAGAAAGTTCAAGAGAATCTTTACCTGAGTGTCATATCTGATGAACAACGGTACCCTTTAAACTTTATTTAATCAAGAATGAAATTTTTTGATTTTTTTTGCTAGGAATTTTGCAACAGAAACAGAAAGGAAATAGTTAAAAAAAATTTTTAGATAAAGTTTAAAGAGAACGGTTGTGAATCGAACAAACCACTTTATTTTTTTCAGGACCAATTCAAATTATAGTCTACAATCTTTTTCACCGATAAATTTTAAATTCTAATTTGAATTTATAAAGTTTATAAAGTTAAATTTCTTATCTTTTGTCAGTTTATGATAATACAAGAGCATAATCAGTTTAATTCCTTCGGTTATGTGTTTATTTCTAAAAATCATTTTTGAGTGGCTATTTAGCAAATTATAATTATAGGAACGTCTATATTCAATTTTAATTTTCCATCCCCATAATTACCTAAACTTTAGGAATTGAATTTTTGCCACAAACCCAAATTTTCTAATCCATCTTTGCAACCTGATGAAGTAAAATTTCGATATTTTAAACTTGTATTATATTAATTAACAGAATTATCAGTTTCAAATTAGGGTTTCCAATTTTTGACGGATCACTTTGGTTCCATAAAGGCCTTACGGAACCTTTTCTGAGGCTGTTAAGATTGATTTTTAAAATAACCCCTTAGATGCAACACAGAGTGACATGTGTAAACTGTTTCCATGATGTCGCACCTACCTTTGTGTGGCAAGAGGTAGATGTTTTCTTAATTCGGTTAGGAAAGGTTTCGCTGTAAATGTCTAAAAGATTTTATAGTCTTTCATTCTTAACAGCTTCAGAGCTGAAAAGTTAAGAATAGTGGATATCGAGATTAATTCTTGATCCTTTCTTTTTCTTAATATCGAGACTAACCTAATCTTGTACTTGTATCTTAAAAAGTGTATGAAATTCAACCAATCAGAGTCGTGTATATAAAGCCAAAATTTGAAATTTTGCGCGCCATTAAAGATAATGTACAGAAACCGGAGGAACTCTTTAATTTTAAAAACCGGCTTTTGAATTTTTACTTCTGTATCCAAGAAAGGACGGTGTAAGAAGAAAATCAAAAGTGTGTCCATGTGGATACTCAGATTAAGTAATCGGGATTAAGGATATCTCATTCTAAAGTTTTCAGCTTTAGGAAAGGTTTCATAAGGCATTTACGGATCCAAATTGATCCGGTATAATCGAAAACCTTATCTTGAATATTATATTTTTAGGATTAATCAAACAATAAAATGTTGCTTCTTCTTCTCTTTCTTGTTCCCAACGTTTACAGTTTATCTGTTCTATGGATTGGTGAGTGCTTAACAAATTACTCTCTCGCAAAATATCGACAAAAAACTAAGTTATCTTAGACTAACCAGCTGGCTTGATGCGCTAGTTTTTATATTTAAATTCAATCGCGTTTTGGTATATGATTCAACAATCGTTAAACACACAGAATTTTATTTTTTTACTTGTTCATTTAAAGTTTATACTTGAACGAGTATGAAATAATTCTGATCAGGCAATTTGTAGTATTTCAATATCAGCTCTCGAGTTTCTTTATTTATTTTAGTTGTTTTTGATATCGGCCATCTATGCAGGTTTATTGCTGACATTGTTGTAATGAGAACTTCCCTTTGTCAGCTGCATTACATGTATCAGTGTCTTGCAGTAATTTAGAAAGAAATTAAAAGATCTCCTAGCCATAACTGCATTCGGCTAGGTTCAAGGTGATTTAGGTGTACCCCCTAGGAAAGGAACACCCAATGAAACCAATGATGATCTCTCTCAGAAAGTTTTGATTAAGATTCCACAGCAAAGCAGTTTCTGAGTTCCACTATATCTGCTCGTGAAGTAGGATAAGGTTGGAATTTAGGAGGTAGGCGGATGAGGATGGGTGTGTAAGGGTAACAGGTATGAGAAATGCCATAGTCCTCACTTTTAACGTGTATTCCCACGTGGACAGATTTTTTAAAGAAAAAATAACCCGCTAAGCATGCTGTCCCATCGCTTTAAAACACGGGGAGTGTGTCTTTTGCCTATCAATGTCAGAGGTCTGCCATGAGTAATCCAGTTTCCATTGTGAGGAGGGTGAAAAACCAGTTTATGGTATTTGATTTAAAGTCTATTGAAGGCTCTGTTCCCCCTTAAAATCTGTATCAGCATGTACTTCATCCCTGATGTTTTGAGTTTCTGTATTGCTTCTGTATTCATCTTTATTACTTTATCTTGTTCGGGATTAGTCACGCTTTCCACTCAGTTGTGGAGAGTAGTGTCCTTGCTATCTAGACTTCTATACAAGTACAACGCACATAGCGCCCTTTCTCTCAACAGGCTTAGAAAGCTCTGCTGACACCCTTCCTCTGGGAGGTTCGGATACACACTGATAAATTGATGTTTAATTTGTCAAATTGTGAATTCACAGCTTGCTTTGACATAGACTTAACTTTTAACTCAACGTGAATTTCATACCTGTTAAAACAGTTTTGATTTGATTTGATTTGATTCGTTTTTCAACAAATGAATTGAGTCTTTGCCACAAACTCAGAGTTTATCATCCCTATTTCTTTGCAACCTGATTGTGTAAACTTTTGAAATTTCAAACTTGGATTATTTTACATATAACAGAAATCATAGTTTGTAATGTATTAGAATATTAGAAAATCAGAATTTGTGGCAAAGACTCAATTCCTTTATAACAACATCTCTTTTTAGGAAATTCTTACACTTATGTGAACGATGTTCCTTTAACAGGATTTTATCAGAAATAAATAAATAAAAATTTTGAAAATAATTTCCAAAAAGAAAATGGATTACTTTTTCTTGACTGTAAACGTAGCTTAAAAGGACCCTTCAATAAAGGCACCCTTCATTAAAGGGACCCTTCATTAAAGGCACCCTTCATTAAAGGGACCCTTCATTAAAGGGACCCTTCATTAAAGGGACCCTTCATTAAAGGGACCCTTCATTAAAGTGACCCTTCATTAAAGGGACCCTTCATTAAAGGGACCCTTCATTAAAGGGACCCTTCATTAAAGTGACCCTTCATTAAAGTGACCCATTAAAGCAAACTATTTTTCTGATGTATCTTTTAGCAAGTAAATTATATTTCTGATGACTCTGTTAGTAAGTAAAATATATATATTTATAATGTATCTGTTAGTAAGTAAAATATATATATTTATAATGTATCTGTTAGTAAGTAAAATATATATATTTATAATGTATCTGTTGGTAAGTAAATTATATTTCTGATGTATCTGTTGGTAAGTAAATTATATTTCTGATGTATCTGGTTTGTAAGTAAATTATATTTCTGATGTATCTGTTAGTCAGTAAATTATATTTCTAATGTATCTGGTTTGTAAGTAAATTATATTTCTGATGTATCTGGTTTGTAAGTAAATTATATTTCTGATGTATCTGGTTTGTAAGTAAATTATATTTCTGATGTATCTGGTTTGTAAGTAAATTATATTTCTGATGTATCTGGTTTGTAAGTAAATTATATTTCTGATGTATCTGGTTTGTAAGTAAATTATATTTCTGATGTATCTGGTTTGTAAGTAAATTATATTTCTGATGTATCTGTTGGTAAGTAAATAATATTTCTGATGTATCTGGTTTGTAAGTAAATTATATTTCTGATGTATCTGTTAGTAAGTAAATTAGCTGCAGCTGAAAACCTGGATTTTGAATATGATTCTCATACTGAGGGGGGCTGGACTTGGGAGATGCATTCACAATCACAGGTAGATCACATAGATTCAGTCTGCTTATAAAAATTCTCATGAAATTTTTAAGACAGGGTCGCCTTTGACTTTGGCTTTGATTTTACCGCACTTACTCACTTATGCTTTTCTGTAGCCCTTTACATGTATACATTTTAGCACTGTAAAGTACATGTTTTTAGCTTTGGTTTTTAAGAAGTAATTTGCAAAATTCTCATCGATTTTTTCTTGAAAGCTTGAAACCTTTACCTTTAAATCACAGTGAGGTGTAAACCTGCAGATGATCAGGTTGTAAAGATATACGGATAAGTGTGGACAATCATCAACTCATTTATAATCTAGGAAACATTGGATAAAATAAAACTGAAACAATGGGACGTTGTCGTGCTCCAGGTGAGCCTTTTGTATTATCATTCTAAATATTAAAACTTTTAAAAAACTGATATTTTTAGAATTTATTTGATCACGATGAAATTTTTAACTTTAATAATTTATTTTAATTAAGTTTTACAATATTTTTAAATATTTGTATGATATCAGATAAAAATATTTTGAGATTTCTATAATTCTTGTTCTTTATTTTCCTCTTTTTGTACATCTCTCATACATCTTTCAATCATATATTGGCCAATTTTGAAAAAAGGGATATCCTTGTAATTAGCCACTTTAAAGAAAGAACTATTTCTAAAAAGATCTTGCTATTTCCGAACACTGAATTCATTTGAACTAGCTGAATGGCTTTCTTTTCTCAGAGCATTACTTGCACATGTTTTGCTAGCATCAGCTTCTGAACACTTTCTAGATCAGTTAACTTTGGGTAGAATATATGAAGGGGGGGGGGGACATCTCCCATCCGGTGTTCGTCTTTATTCGCTATTGGTAAAACAGATAGTGTAAAGCTTAAAACATCCCTTCTAATTTTCCTTTTCAATATTTTCTTCTTTTTTCTTGTTTATCTTGGTTTTACATTTTAAAGTCTCTCCAAATACTTCTTATGACATCGAGTTGTGGAGTAGGAGAGGGATAAGGCGTTTGTAGGAGGAAGGGTATAGGGGGTTGCTCCCTTTGTTCCTTCTTTATTATACTCTTTCCAAGTAAAGGGGGATTAAGGAAACCCATAACTGCACCCATTATGAAAAATGGGGTGTTGTAAGCCCTGAGCTCTCTTGAGAGGAAACTTTCATAGCAGTCCAGTTCTCGCAGCTGGTCAAGTATCATTGTGCATGGCTTGTATACCCATCAGGGGTTAAACTCCTTCTTTCAGTACACCAAGCTGAAGATGAAGTTTTGATTTATTCTGTACATTCCTTGCTTACCCTGTAAGATACACAATGAGGCTGTAATTCTGGGATTACAAGATAGGTCTACTCTCTTCGGTGTAGGGTTTCCAGCAAATGAAACATTTTGCAAACTTTTTCATGAAATTTTGTATTTTTTGCGAAAATAACTGAAGTGAAAATTTCGCGATTGCAAAATGCCAAAATAATATTGCAAAAATGTTTTGCAATAAATGCAAAAAGTTTGCCGAAATGCAAAAATTTTAAGAAAACCATGAGTTTTATAGCCGCAACAATTAATTGCACAAAAGAACTTGTGGAATTCTCTGCTCTCAAAGCTCAATATTTGAAGTTGTATTATGTGTTCATCCATCAATTGGGCTTGCGGATAAATCCCTCTTTGAAAATGAGTCTTGTATAAAAAAAATCAGTCTTTTTTGATGAATTTTCGTAACTTTTTTGCTAAAATTTTACATTTGTCTTTAAAAATTCTGTATTTTTTGCGAAACTTTCTCTTGTTTTGCATAATTTCCATTTTTTTTTTGCAAAAGTTTTGCATTCTTTTTTGCGAAATTTTCGCATTATTTTTTTCTCGCAAATTTTTCTTTTTCGCTGGAAACCCTACTTCAGAGGCAGTCGGGCAACTGGATCACAATAAAATTACTTAAATTATGAATAAGTTATGCATTTAAAAGGGACGGTAAGTGTAATTTAATCGTTTGTCCATGCAAAAATGGCAATGTCCAACTCACACCTTTAAATAATAATTAGTTTCTTCTGTTGTTGCAGAATTTATGCTGTTTTTTTGTAAAACTATACAATCGAAAAAGTTTTTAAATTAATATTCAAACTACACTATTAATATTGTTATGTATGATATGTGTGTGAATAAATCTGTTAAATAATGAATGTCACTTAAAAATATGTAGATCGGCGCGCAGTCGTATGGTAAAATTTCAATCCAATTTGTTAGGAGTTCAGTTTGCGACCAGCTTATGACGAAGACAGGATTTGTAGGTAAAATTTAAAATGACGCAAAGACGACTTTGTTAAGATATAATTTTAAATAACTCAATTTTCGTATGGTTTTATAAGAAAATACCCATTAAACAATTGTACGAAATAAACAAATATAAGAATCTCTACGTAAACGCAATACGTCTCTTAAAATTACATCTACAGTCTTTTTAATGAAAGCTTAAGCATACTTTTTAAGGACCTTCCATGTAAATATGACTATAATCGATTTTTAACGACACCCTTGTAACCCTTATCTTATCAATAATGTGGAAGTTATTGGGGTTTGTATAGGTTTTTAAGTGCTTAATTCTGAGATTAATAAGAGAAACCATGATTAAAAATAATAAATTTTCAAAATTGTTCACATTGATATCTTATTCATTCTTGATCAGATAAAGTGGTATGGTATGGTATGGTATGGTATGGTATGGTATGGTATGGTATGGTACTTGAAATTGCGCTGACCGTCCCTTTAAACAGGAATAGTGTTGAATACCTGAAAGTGTTGGTGGAGAGAATTCGAGAGAACAACCCTCAAACTATTATTCAGGTTGGACAATATCAAAATATCTATATACATACATTTATCAAAATTAAAAAATCAAACCAGAGAAAGGAACTTCCGGTTATAAATTTTTTGATTTTAACCCATTTGGTTTTAGCTATATCTGGCCGTTTACTTAAGAGTTTCCGGCATAGAATATGTTTTTAAAAGTTTTAAAATTTTTTTATAGAATTATCCAATATTTTTCCGTAATAACTTGGTCTTATATTTTAAATCTACTTATTTTTGAAGTTTAACCTTTAAAACAATTTGATTATGCTTTCATTTGTTTTTAAGAAATTGGTTCTAAGTTCATTCTAAATTAAAGTGGTATTAGGTTTAAATGTCTTCGAATTTCTTCAGAAATGTCTGAAGAGTTTTTAAAGGCTTTAATTTGAAATAGAAAGCTATTTTACCAAACATGTTTATTGTAAATGTAAACAATTATTACGACAATTCCTCTGTATCTCAAGAAACAGAAAGAAAAATGGATTTTTTTTGCCAAAAACTCAAATTTTCTAATCCCATATATACATCTTTGCCAACCTAATATAAAGTAAACCTTAGATATTTCAAACTTGTTTTATTTAATCAGAATTCATAGTTTGAAATATCTAAGTTCAAGCCATAGATATAGGGCCGGATTAGAAAATTTGAGTTTGGGCCAAAAAAACTCTGTTCCTTTATTTAATTATAACAATAGTTTTTTTCTCTGTATGTCTTCTCGACGAAGCTACATTCTGCAGATCAGATAGTTTTTTTTATGATTACCAATAATCAGTTTATATAATCTAGTTTTACGTCACCTGGGGGCGACCTTATGGTTTTCAGAAGGATTGCCCAAGCTATCCCCAAATGTGCACTTATGACAGTAAGAAAACATTTTTGTTAAATTATTATTATTTTCAAAATTTGACATTTTTTCTATTTAGCCAAGAAATATAAAACGAACGCACTAGGTTTGTTTATACATGAAGTATAGACTGCTCTTTCCGGGAAGGTACTAAGTGCTTCTTAGTCTAAGCTTTGTATATATTCCTCCCAGAAACTGCCGTACACTTATTTGTAAACAGAGAAATGGAAGTTCCTCATATATTCCCTGTATTTAGGTATGCAAGATGTTCTTACACAATCGTACACAACCTTTGCATGTAAGATTTTTTACCTTCTGAATGATTTTTTTCAACAGATTTCAAAACTTTGTTCTAAACAGGTTGCATAGCAGGTTCCTAAACAGGTTTCTAAACAAGTTTCTAAACAGGTTCCTAACCAGGTTTTTAAACAGGTTTCTACACAAGTTTCTAAACAGGTTTCCAAACAGGTGTCTAAACAGGTATCTGAACAGGTTTCTAAACAGGTTTCTAAACAGGTTTCTAAACAGGTTTCTAAACAGGTTTCTAAACAGGTTTCTAAACAGGTTTTTAAGCAGGTTTTTGAACTGGTTCTAAACCGGTTTCTAAGCAGGTATGAATAAGCCATCTAGAGCCAGTCCTGTCGGAGAAGCTTTCAGGGCAGTCCAGGAAATTCTAGGTAATTTTCTAAATAAGAACAAAGGCATTTGCATCAAATCCAGTCTGACCATGCTGCCTCTTACAGAGATGGGTCGACTTTAAAGCCTTGGCCTTTGGGATTGCCTTATCAATTCTCTGTTACATTTTTGTTCATTAAACATGTTCATTTTAAAGGAACTGAGTTTTTGTCACGAATTTAAATTTTTAATTTCCTATATCTTTTCAACCCAATGGTCTAAACCTTTGATATTTCAAACTTAGATTATTCGGTCTAACAGAATTCATAGTTTGAAATATCTAAGACTTATGTCATCAGTTTGCAAAGATTTATGGATTATATAATCTGAACTTGTGGTAAGGACTCAAATCCTTTACGACGAGCTTGAAGACGTCTCTTTATGTTTTGATGTCCAACAAACTTTTTATCAAATTTGAGGTTTTCAAGCAAACAAAGAGAAGCTGTAAATTGACAAAAAAGCTGTAAATTGACAGTTTCTCATTTTTTCTATGTTTCTGCGAAGCCATACTTGTTAGAAATAAAAATTAAATTTGAAGTTCGTCTTCATTATATTGATTTATACGACGACCACTGCAATTGCGTCAAAAATAATGAAATATTTAGGAGATGATGAGTTCTTCTCGTTATACAATACTAATGGAGTATCTGATCATCATGCATCTGCCAAGTAAGCAATGACAGACAAAATAAAACAAAATTTTTATGAAGAATGTCGAACTAGTGAAAGCATTTTGAAGTTAAAACCATTTTGAAATAGTAACATCCTTAGACCACAGAGAATGAATATAGTCAGAGTAAACAGTTTTAGGTTAAGACCACAGAGAATGAATAAAGACAGAGTAAACAGTTAAATGTTTTGATCACAGGGTAACTTAAATGTCCATCTTTCTTTCTGCGTTCATGTTTAATTCTTAAGCAAACTTTTTATTAAGAGGTTCTTATCTCTCTGCATTGGTTCATTTTGGTTCCATGTTCCAGCGGAGTATAGTTGGGATCCCTGAACCTGCAGGGTTGGATCAAATCACTGCGGAAAAACTCCAGGTGAAGAAAGATAATGTGATAGATATCACATTGCAAACATCTATATGGACTAAAATATATGAGTTTGTGTCAAAAACTCAGTTTCTCTGTCGTCCTAGTTTTCTCTTTAATCTTAATTGTGTTTAGTTTATTGGACAGAATGTGCTTGACTCCAGGTCCTGGGAATATCCTATGGAAGACGACTGTTCAGCCTGTATCTGTGATTGTCAAGAATAATATGTTTTCCTTTCTTAAATTTAAAAATAGATGGTGCAAGGCATAGTTTCAAATAGTTAAAAGAGACTGTAGCTTTCTTGCGGGTATGTTAAATTCACAACGGTACCCTTTCAGCCACTCCTGTATGCCGAGTCCATTAGCGCCGGATCCAATCAGGGTTCAGCCATGTGTAATTGTTGTCTATTCTGAAGAAATAGAAATCGTATGGCGGTAACATCTATCTTTCTATCTATCTCATTATCCAATCAGAGTTATGAATCCTTTAATCGGCGCTATCAGTAAATGGATATATTTACTTCTTCTGAAACTATGGTGAAGCAACGTCTTTGCTCCGGCTAAGCTTTTCCTATCAAAAATTGTAGTACACTTCTTTTGAAAACAAAGATAAATACAAAGCGCCATGAAACTGCAATGTGATTATCAAGAATAATATGTTTTTATCATGTTTATTTATTGATGTTGTGTTGTTAAAGGGACTTTTGCTATAATTTTAAAGGGACTGTAAGTGTACTTTCAAGTGATCCTCCATGCAAAGATTGCAATGCCCCATTTACATCCCTTGCAACCTTAATCATATAAAATTTGTGGAAGATATATACCATCGTTTTTCTGACTCGAAAGTCGAAAAGGTTTATTTCTGTGAGTTTTTACATTTCTTCTATAAACAAGAAATACGCAAGACACTTTTGCAATGAAAATTAACAGTTTAAAGAAACATAAACATTGATATCTTCATTCATCAGACAAAGTTTTTAAACGCGGGTACTGTTGTAAATCGGACATCTTTGCATCGGTGGTGAATTGAAATTACGTTTACAGTCCCTATAGCAGGACTATAAACGTAATTATATAGTGTCATGTTTTATAAAAATATATCTACTAGGTTATATGGGAACTCGTTAGAACCACGGAAATGTTTTAATTGCTTGGCTTAGAAAATTTTAATTGAGTCAGTCGGCTTTAACAGTGAAAGTTTAGTTTCCAGATAAAGCTGGGTTTTCAAGCTAGCTTAGTTTTCAGTTAAAACTGGGTTCCCAAGCTAGCTTAGTTTCCAGTTAAAGCTGGGTTCCCAAGCTAGTTTAGTTTCCAGTTAAAACTGGGTTCCCATGCTAGTTTAGTTTCCAGTTAAAGCTGGGTTCCCAAGCTAGTTAAGTTTCCAGTTAAAGCAGGGTTCCCAAGTTTGTTTAGTTTCCAGTTAAATCTGGGTTCCCAAGCTAGTTTAGTTTCCAGTTAAAGCAGGGTTCCCAAGTTTGTTTAGTTTCCAGTTAAATCTGGGTAACTAAGCTAGTTTAGTTTCCAGTTAAAGCTGGGTTCCCAAGCTAGTTTAGTTTCCAGGTAAAGCTGGGTTCCTAAGGTAGTTTAGTTTCAAGTTAAAGCTGGGTTCCTAAGCTAGTTTAGTTTCCAGTTAAAGCAGGGTTTCCAAGTTTGTTTAATTTCCAGTTAAATCTGGGTTCCTAAGCTAGTTTAGTTTCCAGTTAAAGCTGGGTTCCCAAGCTAGTTTAGTTTCCAGGTAAAGCTGGGCGCCCAAGCTAATAGTAAATAACTTCTGTTAAAATGTCAAGGTTGGTTTTTAATTTGTTTTGTCTAGGTAAAAATTGATCTATTAGTGAAAGTTAATGTTTATACGAATCTATTTATTTACCTAATGTATATATGGATCAGAAAGTAGTCAATATGTCAAATATGTTCAAACAATTTACAGGATGTACAAAAAATGTAAGACAATAAGATTTACTTATAAGGTAAATATAAAAGAATCTAGCAATCTTTCTTTATCTATTTACTATGCGTGTCTGTCTGTTTGTTTGTTAGTTTTTTTCTCTCCAAAAACGTAAAAACGGCTGAACTGTTCGAGCTCAAACGTTTTAAGGTAATTCACATGACCCTAGGGAAACCTTTTGGCAGGTCGAAATTGAAAAATGTTGCCCGGACAAAATGTTGAAGAAAAGGAAGGGCGAAGCGTCCAAAAAAAACTTGTATTTATTTTATTAAAAAATTGGCAATCCATCTATGCTTACCGAAAGATATGCGAAAGTTTGAGTCTTACGATGTTAACAAAAATAGCGGCCTGAAAAGAATCATTTAAAAGCTATATTGTTACTAGAAAAAGAGACGTTCGCGCCTTAAAATTTAAATATTAAATTTCTTCAACAAGAAAATGGGAGCAAAAATAATTTTTTTTTCATCATTTTTTGTGGAACACCCTGTGTGCGACAAAATGGGCGGTGGTGAAAGTGTGAGGAAATTGATAGGATTTGGAAAATTATTTCAGGAAATTGATGTAATCAACAATTTATAAACTAGGTATTTTACTAATTTTTAAATCATCAGCGTTGGTTTCATAACATGTAAAAATGGTTAAATCCATACATGCATGTACGCATTGTATGGGTGTACGCATGGTATGTATGTACGCATGGTATACATGTACGCATGTGTTATATATGTACGCATGGTATACATGTACGCATGGTATGTATGTACGCATGGTATACATCTACGCATGGTATACATGTACGCATGGTATGTATGTACGTATGGTATACATCTACGCATGGTATGGGTGTACGCACGGTGTACATGTAAGCATTGTATGTTAAAAAAGACGCAAAATCAAAGAATTATTTTTAAAATCTTTCACGCCACTCTAGTTTTAACTAGGTAGGTCCATTGTTAAACATTCAAGGTTTTTGACTTTCAAGAGGCTCAAAAAAAAAAGTTTTAAGATTGATAAAAGTATTTATACTTTATTGTTTACTCTAAATAATTAGAAAGAGCTCTGATCTAAAGTCAGAAAACAAAACAAAAATATCGGGATTTAGATATATTGAAATTAAAACAAAATGTTAATTTTTTCTTTCTAACAATGGATTCGAAAGTTTTATTTGTAACGTCGTCTGATGCTTTGAATACAGACCCAGACGTTGCTTTAGGTCAGTTAATTTTGATTGCAGTGGTAGGCAATTATATTAATACAGTGAAGACGTCTGTAAATACTCTGTCAAACCTTTATTGTGATTAGCTTAACTAAGCTTATATATATCTGCACAAATCATGTAAATATGTACATTAACTTAACTTGTAACATAGATATTTAAATACACGTCAGTTGGCATTGACTCTGCTTTGATTACATTTTGAGAGTAATTACTTCTTGGTTACCAACAAGAAGCGTCCTATTGAAAGATATAACTCAGTTTGGAATTGATAGTTTACAAGCTGTGCATGCTTGTTGACATTGATGGCTGACGAGATCATGCCTGTGATCGGCATTGATAGTTTACGAGCTTGTGTCCATGTTGACATTGATAGCTGACAAGATCGTTGCGCAGAATTGTGAGCCACTGTGCGGAATTGCACGCAACCGTTCTGAAATTGAGCGGAATTGCGCGGAATTATGCAGAGTTCGGAAACCCTACATACTCTAAGAGAGTAATAAAAGTAATATCAATAATAGTATTAATAGTAATAATAATACCAATAATAAAAATAGTTATAATAATGATACAAAAATAATGATGATAATAATAATAATAAGTTGGGTGTACTGGGTCAGATTCAAGGTGAAAGTACATTATCTGTTTATATTCTCCTTGGCGCATGAGCAATAATAGACCGGGGGGGGGGGGGCAACGCGGGCAGTGTCCCATCTCCTGAAAGTGGAATCTTTGTTTCGCAGGAGATGATTGTGCCCACCCCCTTAAATGTTAGAAATGCTAAGCCTCCCCCCCCCCCGGACAAATTTCTTGATACACCCCTGATTCTGCACTTTTATAGATTATTTGAGGAGCAATCTTAAAACCATTAGATTTGGTACATTCTCATACACACCCTGGATACAGGATACAGGATACAGGAAACATGATACAGGCAACATGGTACAGGATACAGGATACAGGATGCAGGATAAAGAACATATGATACAGGATTTAAGATACAAGATAAAGAAAAGAAAGCTATCAGATTTATGAATTTGTCAACCTCAAGGAGCAATTACCTAATCAAGAATAACTCTGATATCAATTCAATATCGACATCAATATGAAATAATACACAGGGTTACCCACAAAGGAGTTGACTGTAAAGACGACCTAAAACTCTTAAAATATGACAATGTCAAAATAAGTTTACTGACTTAAATATAGTCTGTGTATGACTTATTTAATGATGGGCAAAGAAAGAAACATATTTACAATTGCTGGGTATTATGAATGTCAACAAACAGAAAGTATAAATAGGGTACAGTCGTCTCTGAAGTCTCATCCTTTGTGGGTAACCCTGTATATAATCTATACCAAAGCAAACTTGTTTAGCTCCATTCGTATATATTAGATATGAATTATCAGTATATCTCTTGATACAAAATATTGATAATTTCAGTTAAAATCAGGATCTTAGTACTTGACAGGTACTATGGTAGCGATCTGATACTTAGTACTTGACAGGTACTAGGTAAGTACATTGTACTTAGTACTTGACAGAAACTAGGTAGGTAGCTGATACTTAGTACTAGACAGGTATTAGATAGGTTTCAATTAATAGGTACTAGGTAGGTGCCTGGTACATAGTACTTAGTAGGTACCTGGTACTTAGTCCAAGGTAGGTACCTGGTACTTAATCCAAGGTAGGTACCTGGCACTTAGTCCAAGGTAGGTACCTATCTGCATATTTAGTACTAAGTAGGTACCTGGCACTTAGTCCAAGGTAGGTACCAATCTGCATATTCAGTACTAAGTAGGTACCTGGTACTATAGTAGGAATAAATAATATTTTATAATTTCTAGATTCTAAAAAAATATCACAGTTTACGAACGCACCAAAAGATCCTAATTGTATCAGAGATCAGATTTTAAAAACAAAAACAAGCATCTTCTATTATTAAAATAGAGTATTTGCTTGTGTATTGTTCAGATGTTTTTATACGAATATTGAAATATTGCGTGATAGGGTTTCTGACCGTGATTACTGTAAGAAGAATAGTATTTATTCTATGCATCATCTTATTATTCAATAAGGATAAGGGAGGCCAAAAATAAGCGATTAAA